ATGCGAGAGGCACGGTTCCACTGCATTGCCTAATGTGGAGTTATGTATCAAGCGAGGCCGGGGCCAAATGCCATCTTGTAATGGTGGCCACTCAAATCGGCTCCCAGCAGGATACCTTTTAGGGAAAAACTATGCCCTCTTCCTAAACCTTAGCACTGTGGGGAAATTCACTAAATTATCAATTCTAGAAGTAGTACAACTTTCTGTAATTTTCATCCAGCTTTTTGTAGGCTCTTCTGTGTGGTTTTTGAAGAGTGGTGGACTTTCGAAGCCGCCTTGCTGTGCTCTGCCAGAGCGCCTTGATACCGCATTCTTGAATGAGTGATAACTATTGCATTTCTGTTTTGTTTTGTTTCCTTTGTAACTTTTTCATATTTGCTTTGTTTGGTTAGCTGGCTGGTTTTGTTTGGATTTTTTGAGACAGGGTTTTACTTTGGAGCTCTAGGTGGCCTGGACCTCACTTTGTAACCACACTGGCTTCCCAAGAGCTGAGTATACCCCAGGTCAAGCCTTAGTGCTTGCTGTTTTATTTTTTTTTTTTAAGATTTATTTTATTGTGTATAAAGCATCTGCCTGCATGTATCCCTGCAGGCCAGGAGAGGGACCAGATCTCATTATAGATGTTTGTGAACCACCATGTGGTTGCTGGGAATTGAACTCAAGACCTCTGGAAGAACAGTCAGTGCTCTTCTGAGCCATCTCTCAGCCCTTATTTTTGTTTTTGAGGCAAGGCCGTGGTAATTAATATAGGTGGCTTCAGACTCACAATCCTCCTGTCTCAGCTCCCAAGTGTTGGGATTACAGATCAGGTATGCACTTGCTGCCACACCAGGCTGTTTCCAGATTTATTCTCTAGGACACTTGCCACTGTACCGGGACCCCTGCCTTCAACTCTGCCGCATGACATGGACGCATCCTTCTGCCATGTTCTTCTCTAAATCTAAGCATGTTGTTAAAAGAGAATTTCAGAGCTTCTGTCTTATGTCTGGTATGGGACAGAAGAATGAATTTAGAAAAAAAATTTTACTTTTCTTCATATCTACCTTTGTCTCTATCGTACCTTTCATTGAATACATATCAGTATAAATAATGTTTAAGTTTTCCACAATGAACAGTAAATGTTCCTGCAATAATCTTTGGAGTTTCCAGGAAGATGGGGCCCCACAACAACAACTCCACCTGGTTGATACAATGTCATGATGCTGATAGCACTATTATAAGACCTGTTTTGTGTACCAGCTGTTCAAGATAGGTTCCAACTCGGTTAGCTGAAATAGGGCACATTTTAAGATAGGTTCCAACTCGGTTAGCTGAAATAGGGCACATTTTTACAGCCTTCTGGCCAGAACTCCAAATAGGAACCTCAGAAAAATCCTACTGAATACTCAAAGACTATTTGCTATTATACCATGACAGCTGGAAGTAATTCTAGATGACATCCCCTTTCCCAACAAAGTCTGTCCTATGGTTAGGGACATCATTTAAAGGTTGAATATAATTGTTATAGGATTGGGGGCTGGGGGAAGATTATGTAAGCTCAAGGATTTCTTTGAAAAAAAAAAAGGAAATTGGATGGGATAATAGATTAGTGTGAGCTTACACTAATAATAATAGTGAATAATGGAGTGAAAACTTGTGAGGTATAATTTATAGGCAATTTACATTGGTATAGATTCTTATATATTGGTACAAACTTATATTGAGTATGTTCCTATTTTCGTCTACAATATTTGTATACCTAGGCAGTTATTTATCATATTGTATGCATGCATGCTTCTAATTCAACTTAAGAAATTTTGTAGATTGATACAATTTTAGGATATAATTATCATATTGCAATATAAATTTCTACCTCTAATCAAGATACTTATACACTGTTTATATTTTGAGGTCATTGTTCTCATTTGTTGCAGTTGTTTAAAGATTGTATAATATTCTAATATAAAGTCTTAGTCTTTAAACTATATAGGTATTAAGAATTATAGGTCAATAGTCATCTATGTTTGTAATAGTTAGACCAATCAGGTTCTTTAGATACATAGATTGTATTCTGCATAGGTAGGCAATCTTCCACCACTTCAAAGAGCTGTTGAATATGGTATTTAAATAACTTAGGGTTCTGTCTGACATGAGACACAATTGCTCCCGGCAGCAGCGATCTATTCCCGAGAGAATGTTGAGCACTGAAGACTTGTCTGGTTACTCTAAGATTGCATGATAGTTATATGACACACACGGAGCATGTAACATGGAGTACATATCTAAAAGATAATGAAAATAAAATCAGAAAACTTGAAATTCTATAAACCCTATGTAACCACCTACATCAAAAGCTGTGTTTGTCAAAGAATGCTAACCCAGGACCTTGCTTTGTTACTTGCTCACCCTCTGTGAAAATATTTCACGATGTAACTGTTAAACCCTTCAAGTATCATACAAGCTTGGGAGAACAACCAAAAAAAATGGGATGCCGTAAGGTGAAAAGTCCAGGCACACAGCTATGAAATTCTAGGGAGAGGTATGCATGTGTACAGCAATGACCTGTGTTATCTGACATGGCGTGCTATAATGGGACCAGGATTCTTTCAAGCTTCTCCAGCAAATTAAAACAAAACCAAGTGAGACAAAGCGCTTGAAGGGATGCTTTTTGTCTCTTTAGATGCTGGGTGTCTGGTGTAGGTTTTTCTGTCGATGTGTTACTTTCATTGGTTAAATAAAGAGACTGCCTTGGCCTTTTGATAGGGCAGAAAATTAGGTGGGCGGAGTAGACAGAACAGGATGCTGGGAAGAAGGCAGGCAGAGGGAGAGCTGCCACAGAGCTGCCAGAGTCAGACATGCTGAACCTTTCCTGGTAAGCCATGACTTCGTGGTGACATACAGATTATTAGAAATGGGTTGAATCAAGATGTGAGAGTTAGTCAATAAGAGGCTAGAACTAATGGGCCAGGCAGTAATTTAATTCATACAATTTCTGTGTGGTTATTTCGGGGGTTAAGCTAGGTAGGTGGCAGGACACAGCCTACTCCCCCTCTTACTACAGGTGTCTGACTTCAGGAATGTAGTTCAAAAATGGAAGACATTTATGAATCTTGGCAGCCAAAGAAATACAAATTCAGTCAGATGGGAAGCCTCCACAGGAGACAGAAGGTTCTGTGAGCCTCTGGGGACATTACTGTAATGTGGGATTTCCCCCCGAGTATGCTATGAATATGTTTTGTCCCCATTGGTCAATAAAGGAGCTGTTTTAGCCAATGGTTTAGCACAGTAAAGCCAGGTGGGAAATCTGAACAGAGATAAATATAGAAAGAGGAGGTGCAGTTAAAGAGACCCATGTAGCTCCCAAAGGAGACAGACACTGGAACCTTACAAGTAGGCCACAGACTTGTAGTGATACAAAGATTAATATAAATTGGTTAATTTAAGATGTAAGAGCTAGCTGGGAATATGCCCAAGTCGTTGCCCAACTAGTGTTGCAATTAATAAAGTTTTTGTGTGATTATTCGGGTCTGAGTGACTGGGAAACGAAAAAGCAGTCTCCCTTTACATTCCTGCATCACTTGCACCCTTGAATTTGAAATCCATGTCTTGGAAGGATCAACTATCTTTTAAGTTCTAAAGCAGTGAAGCTTATCTAGTTTCCAAGGCTAAGTCAAGATCATCATGGCAAGAAACATGGCAGCAGGTAGGCAAACATGGGGTTGAGAGCTTATATTCTGATCTACAGGCATATAGGCAGTCATTTGAGCTGGTATGGACGTTTGAAACCATCAAAGTCCACTTACTGACACACCTCGTAATTCTTCCTAAACAGTTTCACTAACCAGAGATCAAGTATTCAAGTATTCAGATATATGAGCCCCTGGAGACCACTCTTGTTCAGAACACCACAACACAATAGGCATGGAAGAAGGTAGAAACGTGCAGACACTACTAAGGGATGCTCTGGTTTGTGTAGCACCAACAGTAAATCACTGGTGATTTTTTTTTTGTCATGAGCCACTGTTTTGGGATAGCTTCTGCTGTGATCCTAGCTGCAGCAGGCTTGTATGTTCCAGGGTAGGGGTGTGAGGATTAGAAATGTTAGTTAGGAAAAACAGAGATAAGAAACACAAAGACATAAGATACTACCAGGATGGTAACTCAGCAAATAATGAATGCTGAATTCTGGTTCACCCATGTGTATTTTTCATTCACTTTTATAACCCAATACAAAAAGGGGGAAGAAGGCAAAAGACTGCTTTAACATGATACAAAGGACAACCAGAACAATTACTTGTTCTAATACTTGAGACATGGAGCCATTAATTCCTGAGCAAAGCATTTGATGTTTGGGGCCCTGAACACACCCTGGAGCAAGCATCCTGCAGGCAGCCACTCCCTAAGTCAAACCTCCTATTTCAAAAGAAGAAGTAGTAGTATGCTTCAATGCTCTGACCTTTGGTCAGGATGGAGTGGATCTACCTCTATGGGCCATCTTAATGCCCCAAATACCAAGTAACCACACCCTACGTCAGGTCCTCTTGTTGGTAGCCACACCTGTTGGCACCAAATTTGAAAGAGCAAAAATGAGCTCAAACTCTCTGACCTTCAGACAGATGGAATAGGATCGCCTCTGTGTGTGTCCTGACAAATTTTCTACAAACAGCAGAAACAGTGCACTACTCTGATAACACAGGGACTGGTTTACCTTAACCGGGTTACAAATGTCTAAATCAGATCCCATTCTTCGTACTAATTCTGTAATTCCTTTAGTTATTTCAAAGGGAATGTTATAAAACTGAATTTGTTAAGCAGCTTTAAACTTCATACACAAGATTTTATTCATAGTTATATCTGTATCAATAAGATTTAAAAATTTTCTGATATACATTTAAGAGTGCTGCATTTAAGAGTATCATTTACTCATCTGTTGAGATATCATTACACATACTAGTACTCATAATACACATATTAGTACTCGACACAGACACTTTTAGCTCATTGAAAAGGCAAAGCATTGGTGACCACTGAAAAATTTGAGTTTATCAATTTTTTTTTAAACTGGGAAAAAAATTGGGAAGTGAAATTCTTTTAATTTTTAGTTTTCTACCCATTTGTCTTTGCCTGCAGAGACGTCTGTGGGAGTGTGTAGGATTCCCTGGTCCTGATGTTACAGGCAGTTGTAAGTTATCATGTGGTTACCAGGAATTGAACTTGAGTCCTCTGGGAGAGCAACCACTGCTCTTAACCTCTGAGCCACCTATTGAGCCCCAGAAGTGCACTTTTCATTGCATAAATATCTTTCATCCATATGCAGTTCTTTTCTGGAAGGTAGAGTCCATTACTTCGGTATCAGTCCTCACACAGTTTCAATGACAGCGGCAATTTCTTTGAATTGTCTGTAGAAATTCTGGAGGAAAAGGGGAAAATATTAATTTTACTTTTTCAGTCTATTTACATAGTTCTTTTAATTATATATAACTACCACACATAATTTGCATTTTAATGTTACATCCTAAGTGAAGATCACTGAGAAACTAACATACCTAGACAAGCAGGCACTGCAAACCTGAGACAAACCTCAAGAAGCCCATATCTAAATAACAAACAGGAGAACCGCCTCCCACAGAAAACATGACACATGTATATAACTTCTGCATCCTGGCTCAGAAGGCTGACCATTGAGAGCAAAATCCACAGGTGTTCAAATCCCTTACATGTGTTCACATCTATGTGGCCACTATCTGTCATGATGCATGCATAGGCACATACATACAATGGAATCACTCAGCTATAAAAGAAGAAATCCTAAAAAAAAAATAGACACTATATGATCTGACTTATATTAAAAATGCTGAACTCAGCCAAGCGGGCGGTGGTGGTGGGCCTTTAATCCCAGCACTCTGGAGGCAGAGGCGGGTAGATCTCTAAGAGTTCAGAGCCAGCCTGGTCTACAAGAGCTAGTTCCAGGACAGGCTCCAAAGCTACAGAGAAACCCTGTCTCAAAAAACCAAAAGGAATATTGAACTTTCAGATACAGAAAATTGAATGTGGTTGTCGGATGCTAGGGGTGAGGAAAAAGTGAAGATGTTGGCTAGGGGTACTAACTTAGCTATAAAAGTTCTGAAGATCTAACGTATAGAACGGTGAGTATGATTAATAGTATACTGTGAGATTATGAGTAGATTTTAAACGTTCTCAGTGCACATACATTTATACACACCATGTGGAAATGCACATGATAATTACCTTCAGGAACTGTCACTGCACAACATATATTCTTACCAAATCACATTGTATACACTGAAAACATATTTCTATTTATCAATTATACCTCAGCAATGCTTCAGGGATAGGGTGATTTGTTTGCTAATTTATTTACTCCTGAAGAAAAACTCCATAGAAACACCCTGCAGATGAAGGAAGAGCCCGCACCTGTGAACGACTGGAATGTCTGAGGCTAATCTGGCTTTCCCATTCAGTCCATAACTACACACTACTACCTTTCCGCACGTCCCATTCCTTCAGACGCCTACCAGCATCATTAAGAATAAATGTGTGCAGTCTTGTCTATCAAGAGCCCCTTAAAATACAGTTTATAAAGAGGAACTCGAAGGTCATACAATGGTATGTGGAAGACTTTCCCAGAAGCCTTGGCTTAGAGGTAGAGCACCTACCTCACGTGAGCAAGTCCAAGGGTGTGATGCCACATCATCCACACATAAAAACGGAAGGCCAGGCTGAAGAGATGGCTCCACAGTCATCAGCACTACCTGCTCCCCCAGAGAACCTGGGGTCCACTGCCAGCATTCTCGTGGCCATTTACAACTGTCTGAAATTCCAGTCTATAGGATCTGATGCCCTCTTCTGGCCTCAGTGGGTAGTGCGTGCATGTGGTACACAGATACACAGGCAGACAAAACACCCCATACACCCCAAGTGAACAAACAACAATAAAGGAAGTCCAGAACCAATGCAGTTTTTAATCGTTTCAAAAATGAAGCTTTTACTTTTAGTTCATTCACTGTGGTGCTTTCTGGAGTGTTCAACTCTCCTTTGAGAGCTGCTTCAGCTACTGAAGGGCTCACAGCAAACCAAACCAAACTGTACACACCGTTAAATCAGCTAACGATAGGCATCTCTCATGATATACATTCAAAAGGAAATTAGACAGTGTTCACTCCCCAAAGGGAGTGGATATGGCCAAGCTAGAAGAAGTGTGTCGAGGTTGGGGCAGGCTTTGAGGTCTATTTTACTCAAGCTTCCCTCAGAATGACAGTAAGTTGACTTCCTGTGGCTTGAGACCCGAGATGTAGCCACCATCATGCGTGCCCGCATGCCACCATGCTCCCCATCGTGATGATGGACTAAGCCTGAGAAACTGTAAGAAAGCCGCCCCAATTAAATGTTTCCTTTATAAGAGTTGCCATGGCCATGGTGTCTCTTCACAGCAATGAAAACCCTAACTAGGACACTTCTGCTTTCTTCCTTGGATAGAAGGTAAATAAAACGATAATATGAATGCCCTAAGTTTAAGCATAAACTACTGAGTTACTGAAATCTCTAAGCCAGTAAGACTCATCAATATGTATTAGCCCTGAACTGCATTTTGTAAGCAGTCAACAAACCCAATGCTAACCAAAAAAAGATTACTTTTGCTTAAAATGACTATTAAACATAAAAACAATAAAAAGTTAATTACAGAGTAAATATCCTGTAGAGAAGACGAAGTATCCCTAAATACATTAGTCAAAAACTGTTACAGTAACGAAAGGGCGCTATGCACACATCGGCGCATCTTACTGGGAAAACTTAGCAAACTCTCAGAGAAAATAACTTCAGTTTTCCTTTTAGTGTGATCTAAAGTACATCAACTTGTAAGTAAATAAACATTTTCTGTTAAGAAAGACTGTATACAGCTTTTGAAACAGCAGTACAACTTAAATTCAGTGAGTTACACTACAAACCTGAAACTGTGGGATTGTCATTTCGATGGACTTGGTGTTTACTTGGCCAGAAGGATCTGCCACTTTGAGCTTCACTGCCACATACGGGTACTTGAGGGATCTGCAGCGGTCAGAGCTCACAGCCATGCCCAGTTTCCACTGAAAATCTACAAGCTTTAACACAGCAGCACAAGCATCATGTGAGAAACAATACGCAATTTCTGTCTTCCGTCTTGTATTGGTTTCAGTACTGGTCACAGTGCCTGAAAACAGCTTCATTTACGCTGGTAGGCAAAAAAATGGTCAAATGGCAAGGAAGAAAACAAAGGGCACAAGCAGGACCGGAAAACAAGTGGACAAAGCAAAATGTCAAACAAAGGAACCTAAGTGTCTAGCAGATGCATAAAGATGGGGAAAGTGGCTTTTTGTAGCACGCTTAACTTCTTCACTAGGGCACACCAAATGAGCATGCTTTAACCGTTCGTCCTGCTCATGCCCCACAAGTCCTCAAACAGAAGATGGGTGCCATGGTCGTCAGGGCGCCCGAGGCACACAAGGAAACCATCCCGGCCGTTTCCTGCCTTCAGTGTCCAGCTCAAACCTATCATTAGAATGAGTGGTGACGGCCAGTCTTTAGATTCCATCAGTCCTCGTGACGGCCACATGCCAGGGGACGTGCTGTGCAGCGGTCACCTGCTCAGGGCCTCACTGAGTCACCACAGTTTTATAGGTTATAATTTCCATGTCGCAGGTGACAGAACCCAGTTTCAGAGAGCTTAGGTGATGGGCTCTGGGTCACACACCTCAGAAACGAGAACAGAAGCCCATGTCTGTTTGACTGTAAAGATTAAAAGCTTAATGACTACTGTTTTTAATCTAGCTCCTGATGATGCTTCCTCGGTGTTGCCATGGCATCAAACAGAACTGGATAAAGGCAGCTCTGGACACTGACACCAAGGATTTGACTGTCTTACTTACAAACACGAGAGGATGCCTGGCAACCAAAGCATACGTGCTGGCTGGCTGATTTTCTTTTGCAGAGAACTAATGTACGCCTTGTGACAAACTTCTCTGGCAGACACAGGAAGAGCTGCTGACTTTCCAGTTTTTAATTATTAGGACCAAGTAAGAATTCCCAAGGTTCCTACATGCTGGACTCATTGCTTTTTCACAATTAAAACAAAAACAAAAAACTTTTTTTTAAAAAACTTGTATTCACTTGGGCATGTGGAGGTCAAAGGACAACTTGAATTGAGTTTACTCTCTGCTTCACCATGTGTTCCAGGGATTGGACTCAAGTCATTAAGCTTGGTAGCAAATACCTTTAATTAGTCCAGTGAGCCGCCTTGATGGTCCTATGAGTTTTCTCATAAAGTTGCGAAACAGCTCACTAGAAGCCTTTGCCTTTATATGTTATTTGATTTTTAGTTTTGGTTTGGTTTCAGATACAAGATTTTTCTGCAAAGCCCAGACTGGCTTCACTATTGTGGCGACCTTCCTGCTTCAGCCACCCAGGTGCTGGGATTAAAAGGCACCCACGTCTAGCTTGGTGGATTTATTTGCAATCTACTGTATAATCCAAGGTGTAAAACTTGTTTAAAATTATACTTTTCAGCTCTTTATGTCTGAACATGCAAAGAACTGCACCCGCCCCAAAAAAAAAAACAAACTGAATGATATTTCTAAACTCATTACTGATCCTAATAGTCTTGTCAATTATCGTGGCTTTCCTTATGAATTTAATCACATGACCAATCACCAGAGAATCACTGTGTGGAAGAGATTACAGCACACAGGTCATTCGGATGAGCCCATGTCCTAACCACAGAGGCTTTCTCCAAGCGAGAAAGCAAGCATTAAGGATGTAACGAAATTAAGACCATGGGATGCAAGTCCCTGGATGTGAGCCCAGTGTAATCAGTCTTTGTAGAAGGAAGGCAAGAGGGTCAGAGTCAGAAGAGGGAGCAGTGGCTGGGACCTTGCAGGGTCCACAAACCAAGAAAAGAGGCAGCTAAGAACAAAAAAAAAAAAAAAAAAAAAAAAACAAGAGACCCTCCCTCCACTTATACCCAAACCTTCCTTCACTTTGGTCCCAAAACTCTGGTTTCACACTTCTGACTTGCAGAAGTGTAAAGGATAGATTTATGTTGCTTTGGGGTAGAAAATTTCCATAAAACAAATAAAAACCTATAGCCCAGTAGAGGTCAGTCTCAGGGCATCTTTAATAAAACACATAATGCAAAGTGAATGGACAAAATAATTCATGAAGATGAATAATGACAATGATTCCAACTCAGCGAACTCTGGTTGAAGAGATGGCTCGGTGGTTAAAAGCACTTGCTGCTCTAGCATAGGACCCAGGTTCGGTTTCCGGCACCTACATGGCAGCTCACAACCATCCATAATTCCAATCCCAAAGAATCCAGGCCTCTTCTGGCCTCCAGTGACCCACATGTTATACAGACATATAAAAAAAGAAATCTCAAAACAACGCAGCACCATTAACTCATATCTTTTTTTTTTTTTTTTTGAATTTTCGAGACAGGACCCCTAATTCATATAATGCATGCAAAGACAAGCAGGCTTATTGGTATCCCAGGTGCCTTCAAAAGCAACAGCAAGACAAGCCAGGGTGTTAGGCACGTAAATCCAGCTACCTGGGATGCTGGGGCTAGAGAATCACACGTTCGAGGACAGTGTGAGCTACAAGCTGCATCAGTTTAGTGGCGAGCATGAAAATTTAAAAATGAAATTAAAATTAAGTGTTACCAGCCCCTTCCCTCTTAGCATGCTTTCACGTCATCACTTCCTTATATTTTATGTGAACTTAGGCAACTCCTGGTCCAAAACTCCAGTTCTCTGACTTTCTCGGAGAAGTGTTATTATTAATTTAGAAAGGCAATTTTTTTATTCCTAATGTAAAATATGAAAGGTTAGAAAACTTATACTTCATCTTCAAAATAACTTCTTTGAAGAAATAGCTGGGCTTGGTGATACACGCCTTTAATCCTAGCACTTCAGAAGCAGAGGCGGGAGTTCAAGGCCAATCAGGTCTTACTAGAAAAGTTCCTGGCTAGTCGGTGAGATTCTGTCTCAACACACACACACACACACACAAAAAGGTTAAAGGAAAAGGAAGGGAGCTATCTTGCCAAACATTAGTAAATAATTGCTCATGTAACCCTCATGTTTTAAAACACCATATTCCTACCTTGGAATAAAGGCTGACTAAGTAAGTTGGAACAAGGCTTGCACTGCACTCTGCGCAGAGCAGCCTAAATCACACTGTCCAGTCCAATGGGAAAACGGAGCCCGGGGAAAGACCCACGAAGAGGGGCGGGGACCGCACGCCGCAGCGAGACAGCATGGGGCGTCCACTCACCTGGCAGGTGACCTGGAACAGAAGCAGAAACACGGTTCGGAGAAAAGCCTTCCCGGCACCACTGTCCGCCCCAGCCCCTTCTCCCAGGCCGAATGTACCTCGGATTTGGCGTCCAACACCGGTTCCCTGAACGGAGACTCCTCCATGGCCAGACTGGAACTCACAGACACTTCCGCTTCCGGCCCAGCCCACTCTAGGGAAAGCGAGAAAAATAAATTTTCATGAAATTTTGGACTTGTCTCAATCAAACATCAGTTTTAGGACATACTGAGTTGAGGAAAGGATCGGTGGGGAGAAAGGCCAAGGACGCGGAGGAAACCTCGTGGAGGATGAATAACCCTCAGGATGTCGCCTCCCCCACGGTCGGGAAAGGAGTGGGCTCGTCTGTGCGCAAGCGCAAAGTGACTGTGCTTGGGCGCTTTCGATTCCAGTCAGGGATCCTGTGGAAAGGCTTTGAGATGCGGCCACACCCCCTTGCATGGCTCTTGGTGTGCTGTGTGACTTTAACTGCAATTGTCTGGCGAATTCTCATCCTTGGCCTAGCCCGATGATGGAAGGGTGGAGCGAAATGCCTTAAAAAACAAAAACCTCTGCTGCCTTTTATTCAGATTTCAACCCGATTTCAGCAGACCGCCGATGCATTCTTTTTTGTTTGTTTGTTTGGTTTTTCGAGACAGGGTTTTTCTGTGGCTTTGGAGCCTGTCCTGGAACTAGCTCTGTAGACCAGGCTGGTCTCGAACTCACAGAGATCCTCCTGCCTCTGCCTCCCGAGTGCTGAGATTAAAGGAAAGTGCCACCACCTCCCAGCCCATCAATGTATTTTAGACTTGCCTTAGTTTATGACTTGGTTTGTTCTGTAACCCTGTAAAAACTTCATGAAACTGCTTACATGTTTGAATGTGGAAATTGGGTTGTTAAATCTGTGTTTCCGGCTATGGTCACTCAAAAAGGCTCCAGAATAAAGTCTCTTATTCGCTTTAAGATGAGAGCAGTGTTTTGTGTCGACATTAAAAAAATAATAATAGTCTGTTGCTCCAGGGACCTCCTCTGCCTTGCCCTCTCACTCTCTTTCTGAAATCAGGCCACAGGTCCCTAGGGTTCTCTGCTGAGGCGTAGACGCCTAGACCTGATAAAAACTGCTTTTGTTTGGCCTTGAAGTTTTCTCCCTCCCCTGGCAGCTTTAGACAACCTTGAACAACAAGTTTACTTTACCTGTCGCCTCCTTGCCTTGTGATTCCTGGTACAAAGGCTAGGCCAGGCTTGATCACTTCCTCTGCAGTTGACACTCCTTCTGCCCCCTTCCTGCCCCACCCCGCTCCTGAAAACTTGTAAGATGCAGATATTCTCTTTGTCCTACTGGAAATGAAGGCTCTTCCTTCAAGACCCCATCATGCCTATGGTATGAGGACATCCACACTGATGCTCTCCACTGACTATGATGAACCTGTAACTCTCCTGACATGGTCCTTCAGAAAGTCTCCGTTCTACAAATCCACGTTCTTTCATGTTATAATAAACACATGCCAAACTGCTATGTTCAGGTCTACATCTTACAAGATAATATAATTTGCATTCGACTCTCACTTATAAAATACAGATTTGGGGCCTGCACCATGACTCAGTTGGTCAAAGAGCTTGCCACTGAGCCTATCTACTTGAGAGTGATCTTCAGGATCCACGCAGAGGAATAAGAGACCTGACTGTCTGTCATGAGTTATCCTCTGGCCCCTGCTTCCACACACATCCAAAATTAAAAACGTAAAAATACAAGATTTTTACGAAGTAACAAAAATTGCCAAATACATATACAAACCATATACACACATGGTTATACCTTTAGGAGCATTTTCAAAAAAACTCCTCAGTCTCAAATAAGAGGACGTCCACAATGCTATAGTCATGAACTCTTGAGGTAATGAAGGTTCCAGGGGAATGGGGGAAACCAAAAGACATTTCTTCCTATTTAAGCACTAAGTTTCAGTTTCTTTTTAAATGCCCAGTGATACAAATTTGAATCAAATAGTCTAAGCAAATTAGCAGGAACTATTCTCTCACAGCTGTGGCCTCTGAGCTGGACGGGAGGAACTCACTGGCGTGCCAAGAGAATTGCGAGAGTTGCATAGCAAAAAGCCCATTCTCTTGGTTCTCGGGCCTGGTTTGGCCTCTTGTTTGCTCCTGGACTCTATTTTCTTTGTCTTTTCCACTTGTTTTCGGGGGAAGAGGATACATATATAGATATGGATGGCCGGTGTCTTTGGAGTCCCAGCCATATGACTAATATTCCGAGGGGACAGAGGAAGCACAAAGGGAAAGAGGAAAGGGTCTTGAATCTCAGTTCTGAAAGAAAGACTGATTAACCTACAGAGTCACCCACTCCTTGAACTAATGCTAAGTGAAATTGCATTACTTTGTGTCTGCTCTGTGGCCCATAGTGTGTACTATAAAGGGTATATTTATGTGATTGGAAAAGCCACTAGTGTACCAGAGACGAACGATATCACCAGCAGGAGAGATAAGGACGATTCAACCCAACTTAGATGAAAAGATGCTAGGGAAACAAACAAACAAACATATCTCCTAAACATATTTCTTGTTTCATACAGTATTACCCTGCTCTATCAGTGAATGCGGTCAAAATCCTCCCAGATATCTACTTCCTGATCCACAATCTGTGAATGAGTTACCTTACATCACATGTGGGAATTAAAACCACACATCAGCTGCTAAGCAGGTTACTCAGGTGTGAGCAATGACCTGTGTCCTTCATCGCAAGGGTGGAGGTGATGAGCTGTAGTCACAGGCAGTTTGTCAGAGTGAAACAGTGTGAGAAAGACTCCCCCATTTTCTGGGTTCATACACAGAGAAGGGGCTAAGGGGCCAAGAAGACTGGCAGCTTCCAGAAGCCAGAATAAGAAAGAAAATGGATTCTCCCACATAGATTTTATGAATACAGCCCTCTGGATACTTTGCAGTCCAGTAACATCTATTTCGGAAGTTTTACCTTCAGACTGTAGAATAATAACTTCTTGCTGCTTAAAGCCCTGAAGTTCTGGGCTGCAGCGATGGCTCCATTGGTAAAGGCCTTGCTACATAAGCACTTGACCCGAGTTCGGATCCCCACCACCTATGTAAAGTAGACAAGCATCATAGGACGCAGCTGTAAATCCACCACCGGGAGGCAGAGGCAAGAGGATTGATGGGCACACTGCCCTCTGAGTCAGTCTACTCAAATCTCTGAGGGCCGGACTCAGGGAGAGATGCTGTCTCAGAAACAGAGGTAGCAACTAAGGAAGATATCTGATGATCACCTCCAGTTGACCTCTGACCTCTAAGAAACATGCACAGGGTGGTACACAAACATTTTTTTTTTAAAAAAAGTTTATTTATTTGGTTTTTCAAGACAGGGTTTCTCTGTAGCTTTGGAGCCTGTCCTGGAAGTAGCTCTTGTAGACCAGGCTGGTCTCGAACCCACAGAGGAGGCCTACCTCTGCCTCCTGAGTGCTTGGATTAAAGGCATGTGCTGCCACGGCCTGGCACAAACACACATTTTTTTAAAAGCCCCTCTAAAGCTACACACACTGACTACAGTAACAGTAGGAAACCAATTCAAGGCGATTTGTTACTGATGTACTGGGAATTTAGAACCTTTTAAACCCCAACTGAGGTCCCTTTCCATCATTCTGCTGGGTGACTTGTTAGATTTTCTGAGTGTTAGCTTTCCTGTCTATAAAGAGAGGACTACTAATGTTCCTCAATGTTTCATTCGAGTGTGTAAATGCGATCACGTATGTAGACACAGCAAAGTTCCTCTGTGCCACAGTTCTGAACAAACACTGGCAGTTTCTGTCATCACCATGATCCCCAGCCTTCCAAAGTCTGTCATCTGTCTGAAGCATACCTCCTCCTCCTCATTTTAAACACAAGGAAACAGAAGTCCAGGTGTGCTAAACAGTTAGCTCCCAAGTAAAACTACCAGCAGTGTGGCGTAACACACGGTTGAAGCTCTAACCTCAGAGGACTCCAGAGAGATTCCAAAGCCCCAGTGTGCCCCATGGAATCCTCCAGTGATCCCTGGGGATTGAATGCTATGCTTCAGGCTATTCAGGAATATGAGTTATGTATTGTGTAATCAGCGGCTAACATAAACAAAGATGGACACCCTGGGCTAGACACAATTAATATTCCTAGCAAGCTAAGGTTTTTCATAGCTTAAAGAAAGGCTTAAAATTCTTAGCTTTTGAGCCAAATCTGACCAACCCATGTATTAAAACAGCAGCAATGAAAACAAAATGAACTGTTCTATAAACACAGAAATTTTGCCTGGCCAATCAATCATTCACGTAAAAATGGTGACATCCAATTGTCATCGTTTCTCCTCTGTTGCTCAGACAGCAGCAACCAAGGGAGAGAAGGCTCACTTTACCTCACATTTCCTCATGGCAGTCTCTCACTGTGGGGAGCAGTGGAGTGTCCGGAGCTTTACCTCACACTTCCACGTGGCAGTCTCTCACTGTGAAGAGCAGTGAAGTGTCCGGAGTTGGACACACCTGCTCACAGCACTCCCACACCAAGCAGCAGAGAAAGAGTGAATGCAGGCATGCTAGTCCAGAAGCCGCTACCTAGGGAAAGATGGTCCCCATGGGGGATGGGTCTTCCTGCCTTAATGAAGGTCGTTAAGATAGTCTCCCACAGATCTGGCTATATGGCTGCCCCCTCACCCCAGAGAGATTCTTCAAGCTGACAAAACTAACCATCACAGTCGTCAACCTTTGGCTAAAGGGAAGAGCATACAGTTTGGTTTGTGTTTGATATGTGCTTGTGTGTGTGTGTGTGTGTGTGTGTGTGTGTGTGTGTGTGTGTGTAGGCCAGGGGTCAATGTTGGCTATTTTTCTTTATTGCTCTCCACTGGATTATTTTTTGGGACAGGGTCACTCACTGAACACGAAGCTCATTGATTTGGTGAGACTAGCTGGCCTGCAAGCTCCAAGGATTGTCCTGTGTCCGCCTCCTTAGCACTGGGATTACAACTGTAATCCCAACACCCCAGGTGGGTTTTTTTTTCTCCTGTTTTCTTTTGTTTGGAGACAATATCTCACTATGTAGCTCAGACTAGCCTGGAACTGGCCATGTAGACTAGGTTGGTCTCTTCATGTTAAGCACTATAACTAAAGGTGTGGCCCGCCATATAAGGTTAACACCATTTTTTTTTTTTTACTTGAGTACTGGACATTTGAACTCTGGTCCTGTCCTCATGTTTGCACAGCAATACCGTACCTACTTAGCTGTCTTCCTAGTTTCCTAGCTAGAGACACTTTCAAAGGTGTGATATAAAGAGGTGAATTGTCGGGCTTATGGACACGCAGTCATTTTCTGGTAGTCACGATCTAGTGTTGAGGATTATTGCTGCATATTGGGCACAGGTGTCATCACTGTGTAATACCGGCGTGCTTTTACTTGCAAGGCTGTGTTTAAATTGACGGTTTGGCCGTACAACC